GAAATAACATTTTGAATGTTGACTTGAATAAGACCTGTTAAAATGACAAATCTGTGCACCTCCTATAAGAAAATCCCAAAACATTTTATAAATAATAATGAACCAAATCCTTGCAAGGTAAGTGACGACACCGTAATGTCAACGGATAACCTCACTGTGCCTCAATTTGAGTCAGTTGTGCAGATCACTTGGTGAGTCAGCCACAAAGTCAGGAACATAACCTCAAGTTGAATTTCAGGCTTTACCGAGCCTGATGCCAAAATCTGCTTTTACAGTCATGATCTCACATTCAGTATCACACCTCCCTGCGTTCCTTGCCTAGACGTTGGTCTTAAAAGGAGTAAAACTGAATGAGTCAACAAGCATGCTAAAGTAAGTTAGCTAGGTGTGCAGTTTGTAATTATGTCGTCCTTTGCCTATCTTTGATAACAGCAGCAGCCCTTAAACCAGTATTTCACAACACAACTTTGTATCTCTTAAATTACCAGGGGATAGCAAGCTATCAAGAGGGACATTAGATTTGGAAATCCACTGTGAATCCAAGCAAAGGTCAACAAGTCAATTTTGTGGGGTTTCTTCGTCTGTTTTGATATATTCAGGTTTAAGGAATTCACAAAATAAAAACAGGCACAAATGTCAAACCAAGATACTAATCTGATGCCTTTACAATTTCTGAATATTTCATTTGAATTCACTTTGCGTTTTAACATTTTCAGAATAACTCATGTACTCCTCTTGGACTCTTTAAAATAATTCAAGACAACCTTTGCTTCAAAAGATATGTGATCTTTGGCAGGGGGGTTGCCTAGATGATCTCCTGAGGTCCCTTCCAACCCCTAACATTCTGTGATTCTGTGATCTAGACACTGACTTAGATTGAGCCCAAGATTATTGATTTTTCACTCTGGAAGCTTGTAAAAGAGAAAAATTAATTATTACTTGCCTCCTAAGGTTGTTTAGCAACATGATGTTCACATACATATAATACAAATAATAGCTATATGGGGGATTCTTCTCACTGGTCCAGAGGTCAGGGTTAAGGCTCTTGTCAGAGAACATATGGCCGCTGTGTTTAGATTCGTCATCAACACTGTCAAAGCCAGTCACCTGGTGGGAGAACAGACTCATAGAAATCAGCATTTTCAAGAGGCAAACTTCAACACTACTCGCTTCAAGACTTGCTTGTACAAAGCATCAGTCCTCTTTCTTCATTTCCCTCCTCATGCTAGCAGTCCTGCTGCTCTGCCCTCCCACCACACCATGCAGAAAAAAAATGTTTTCTTGAAGGAAGGTCACCCATTTTCTTTCTTCTGAGACAAATAGGAGACCCAGGTGCACAAAAGCCTTCACACTCCTGTGCAGGGCACAGGCCTGTAAGACTCCCTGAGATCCAGATTATAAATCCTTTAAACTCATCTTTGTTATTTGAAAAGCATCTGAAGGCCAGAGGCTCCCAGGAAACCTCAGAGTACTGATTTGGGGCATACTCAGAAATGTCTCTTAACCACGTCCCAGCAGCTCCACCCCCACCTCTCTCCTGAGTCCCATCAGGATCTACACCATGCCTCCTTTCACTTGCCTCCTTTTTGGAGGCCAGTCCCAGAGACAAGCTCAAAGTACGTACCCTGGATTACAATGCTACCTCTGCACAAGAGCATGTGAATGTTTTTTAGTCATGCTTTATAGAGAGGATTACTGAGAGGACAAATAAATAGTTGTTGAGCTGTTTCAGAAGAAATAAATGGCAACTATTTGACAACACAATCTTACCAGGCTTTTATTAAATTGTATGTCAGGGCTTTAAAACAGTAATACAAGTAATCTATGGAGGAGGAAGCTTTTTTAGTATCTGGCAAGAGCTGTGGACAAACAAAATTTATGAATAGGAGAGGATCAATTTCATGTGAGACAAACTCCAAACATACTTACGTATTTGAGGAAAAGGTGCAATTCTCTGTGGTCTTTGGGATTGATTGTTGCTTCAAACAAAGGTACAAAGATGTTCTCCAACATTTTCCCAAAACTAGGCAGAATATTTTTTGACCTAAATATGTCACTGAAGGGGAAAAATACATACAGTTGTGACCATTCTTTAATCAGCTTTTATTTTTCCTCTGCTTTCATATCTTTCATTATTTATTTATATTCTACAGCTTCAGTTCTACCAGGATTCAGAAATTCAAAGTTTGTCAGGGCAGGGATTGGCTCTGCTCTGTTTCCTGCACTGCCTGGTGCTCTGCTTCATCCAGGCTCCGCTGAAGCTCTGAAAATAGACACAGTATGCAGGGATAGATGCTGTCCCAAGACCAGTGACACTTTCCTTTACAGCAATCCCAGTACTAATAGGGAAGATAAGGAATTACCTCTCTTGAAAGATTCTGTTTTCTGAAGTTGTAACAACTACAAATGAAAGTAGAGTGTTCTGTTTTAGTGAGCCCCTCAGAAAAGAGGGACAGTACTTCAGTGTGTCATTAAGTGCATGACTTAATGAAGTGTTGCCTCCGCTATGTACATAAGAAATTAGAGAGAAACTTTCTCCCTAATGAGAAACACACTCTGGGGGATATATGCGACCATGACAGCTCTTTCTCTACTCGTATTCCAACTATGCGATTTCAAAACATGAAGCTCAGCTATTAAGGCTGACAAAATTATCGTGGGAGACTGTATTACAATATACAGTATTAGAAACAAAGAATGATTTAATAAAGTCCCAAGGGCTGCTTAAAAACTAAGGAAAACTAATACAGATTTAAGCCTGCAAATCAGCAAAATCTGGATTGTTTCTAAGTTCACTGTCCTTGAGGAAGTTTGATGAGAACAGTTTTACAGAGCATTTTCTGCTCCTTTATGGAATTCAAGAGTTGATTTATTTTCATTACTAAATTGTATTTTAACTTGACTTTTAATGCAGCTTAATTTCACCCAGTTGTAATTTTTGGGTTTAGTATCCTCAGACTTACAGATAATTCACAGTAGTTTTGAATAGCTTCCTAAAGAGTAGATTCAAACCCCATCTCCTGTCTTCCACCCCGAGACTGTGAGGAAAACTGCAGTAATGGTCAAGAATAAGTTTCCCAGGCTTTTGATTATAAATAGAACTATGGGACAGCTCATAAACCATCTAAAAAATATCAGAAATTAAACCAAATCATTGGTATGATTTCAACTATTAAAATTACCAAAACCCTCTGATTACTTACTAGATTCTGGGAACCTGAATGATCCAGCGCATATTAGGGGAATACACTTTATGCTTGATGAACCATTTTGCCAAGTTCAGCCATTCATCTGGAGACCGTCCATAAATGGATAAGCGGGGTTCTGTATACTGGTACTTACTTTCTTCTAGTTCACGGGCTACTTCCTGTTAAGTAATAAATGTATTTGCTTTAATATGGACACTGAAGATAACTTACAGCTAGTAGTATATTTATCACTGTATTTTCCTCAGATCAGACATAACTCTATTGTCACCCTTTAAAGATAAAGGGAATCTTTTGTCTATTAATCCATTATTTTATTTTAGGCATCTAAATATTCTACTAGCAAGCCACCTCAGATATCATTTGAGTAAAACTAACTGTAACACCTAGATTTAGAGGGCAATATTCTTGTTCAGTTATTACTAACACCTTTGTAAGACGTATTTAAAATTGGTAAATCAGAATTATACTATTTAAACTGTAGTAAATGACTACATAAAATACGCAGACCAATGGAGAACCTGACCCAGAATCCATAGTAGTAAGCAATTTTAAGGCTATTTAGACAAGTACTTCCATACATTTAAGAGCTGACATCTAATTAATGAAAACTAATAATTCTTTTGTTGTAAGAAATTAATTTAAAGTCTGTGCGTGCATGTGCAGATACAGTTTACGCAGATGCGCTTCCCTAGCTCCTCCTTCCATTGCAGCTATCACTAGCCAACCACATCCTAACGAAATGTTACGCCACTGAATTGACCCTTGGCTGCTCTCCATGAGTTTGAAACTGCACACAACTCTGCTTTGAACTCAGCACAGATTCTGTGTATGAGCTGCTAACTCCTAACACTATTTAGAAAACAGTAGTGGCTGACTTGGCAGAGGTCTTTCTCTGATAAATTGCTAGAGCAAGCCCAATACTTGGAATCACTTAACCATCGTGTTAGCCCTAGACACAATTATGACATCACAAATCTTTTACAAACCTTCATTTCTGTACAGCTGGAAAAGCTTGAAACTTATTTACCTTGACCATACGAGCAAAATATTCACCACCAATGTAGTTCTCAGTTTTCAAATACAAGTCCCTCAGCTCACTGGCACCAACTGGATTGTACTTGGAATTGAATTTGTCAAATCGATGAAATGTTTGACGACCCTGGAGGAGGAAAAAACCCAAATAACCATGGTTTTAAGCACAAACAATAGTTTATAAACTAAATTGCCTAGCAATAAAACGCACAGAAAAGAAAAATGCAACGCTAACTTACTTCGAACATGCAAAGTAATGCGTAAGTTCAAATCCTGATTGAGTAAGTTATCATGCAAAAACTGTAGAAAACAGAATTTTACACTTAGGAAACTTAGCTTTTTCTCATATATCTTGTCATTTTAATAGACTTACCGCATGGACATCTAAAGAGTCTACAGTGAGGTCATAAGGGTCCATGTGAAGGCTTTCGAAGACTTGCTTTAAAGTCATCTTCTTGCCTTTTTTCTCTGCAACAATCCTGTCAGGCTCCGTTTGATATGTGTGCTTAATAAACCTCAGTAAGTGCTTCTGGTTCATGCAAGCAGCAGCATGGATATGAGTATCGACCTGAAATCAAAAGGTTATTCATGCTCATCATCCATAGACAAACTTCAATTAGCAAACTATCTATGTCAGTGACAATGCCTAAAGCCTTCTAAAATATTCCTTAAGTTACAAATGGATTAGTGGCTAAGCAAGTCAAAATGTTTCAGAACCCTGAGATTTTGGTTTTGATGGAATTATTCAATAAGCAGAACTATAAATAAAATAGTCCTCAATTAACAATTTCCTATTTAAATGAGAAAATTCTCAACAAGTTAAGATACATTTTAAGTGCCAATCACAGAACCTGGGTTCAGATTAAATTTGATACTTCCTTAAAGGACACTGATCCTTTAGTATATTTTCATTTCATCCATGAATTGATGACATCTTTCTAATTATAGACTGCAGTTGTAACCATCCTCTCTGACTGAAAGGACCTGGAATTCTCAGCCATTTCCAAAAGCATAGTTCAGTTTTGTATTTCAACCACATGAAACATCTTAGGTCACTAGAACTGCAAAATGTACATGAGAGATTTTGTCACTATTTTTTCCAAGTTAATTATAATACAGCAACTCATAATGCTGACAGGTTTTTCACTTTCTTAAGATCTCTTCACAACTAAGGAAGTGCAAGTTTCACAGAAGGGCTGAGCATATTCCTTCAGTTGTTTGTTGAAGTCACATTTTAAACAAAAACTGACAAGAACCAAAGGCTTTCCACAGGCATGCTTTTCTTTTGCTCAAAAGCTTGCACTGCTATTTGAGCAGCCTGTATTAGAACACAATCCAAAGAAACAAATGATGAGTTTTGGGGGTTTCTTTGTTGATCTAAGTTCTCCCTTCAGTACGTGCAATTCCTTAGGTGCCTCCAGCAGGTATGTAAAACAAATCCATTGCAGTTCCTTGCAGTCAAGGGTTTATTATCTTAACTATGCTGAATAGAAGAAAACCAGGTATATTCCCCAACTTCTTGTTTGAAAAGGCAGGTAATACTAATTGCAGTTCCTAAGGACCAAGTACCTGAAAGGGAAGAATAGGCCTTAGCTAGGATAATGGCCTGAAGGAATCTAATAGCACAGCAATATCCAGTGTGTGCAGCAGCAGAGCTGCTGCTCCAGGGTCCGTTTGCTTTGAATTTCCTTGAGAAATTCTGATTGAACAACAAAACAGCCTCATGCATGTCCTAGGCAAGACAATGAAATTACTCTACCAACAAATTCCTATCAATTTAAAACCAAACCAAACCACTGTTCTGATTAGATTTCACAGTTAACACATAATGATCCAAACGGCCCTGGGGACAGCTTGACAGACTGAAATTGCCTTCAAGTCCAGACCACCAAATCCTAGCAGAAGCAGTCTCAGCTCGCCCAGAAGCCGGCTGCTAAGCTTTCTGTTTTCCTCCAGCCCAGGCCCTACCTGGACATAGATGGCCATGAGCACAGGGATGTGGTCAGAAGCCATTTCCAACTTTCAGTATTCTAACATCTGCCTTCTGCACCAACTGCCTCATCCTGCAGACAAGACTTACAAGACTAACTGGCAGAATGGTTCTGCAGAGCGAGGAGGAAGCCAGATAGTCAGTTCGTAATACAAGTTTCCAGATGATACATAATAGGGACAGGATGGTTCAGATAATAAGTCTAAAAAAGCACCACAACATACTGTACTATATATTGGTAGGAGATGGTTTGGAATCATTGTAAGTAACACTTTACCATGAAGTCTTATGTGAAACTATAGTGGAAAGGGCTGCTCTAACTCCTCATACAGAGTAAGAGAGGGGCTTCAAAGCAGAAACAAAGAATAATCTTGCTTCTGCACAACACTGGTCATGCAGTTGTCAGAATGCACCCAGTTTTGCTGTTTTGCAGTTTAAAAAAAAAAAAAAAACACAAATACAGACACCATTCCCAAGAAATGTCACAAAAGGAACTAGGAGCTGGAAAACCCATGCTGCCACGTGACTGTAAAAATGAAACTTACTTGGCTTTCAAGATGCAATTTGAGAGTTAATTTGATAAACTGTATACAGGTATTTGTGCATCCAAAAGAGACCATGAGGCAGAGAGGGGGCTTTTCAGTCACACAGGCAATGATGTAACAAGATCCAAAGGCTGGATATTGACATTAAATACAGTTTCCTAAAGACACTTACTGCACTGGAACAGTTCGAACTCACTGTACTGTGCTTTTTAAAATGCAAGTAACTAGCATTCCCAGGGACACGCTCCCAACAAGAGCCTTGTAGCCTGTGCGCAGGAAGTCACACTAGAAGGAATTCTCAGATAAACCAGCTACAAGGAGTCCCTGAACCTGCATTTCTGCAAGGACTCTCATCCAGGACTCCTCTGTCTGGGAAACTGCAAACATGGACATGCACAATGTGAGACCAACGCGTTCCCCTTTGCGGAGTGACTATGTCTGCAGCTTTCAGACTCCAACAACGGAAGCATTTGACATCCTGAGGTGTTTTTAA